CCCCAAAACCCCAAAACCCCAAAACCCCAAAACCCCAAGTCGAAATAAAAATATTGGCTGTTTGTTAATTTGAAAATTGTTTTTGGAGTTCTTCATTCTGCCTAACAAGTTCTTCTATTTGTATTAAGACCTCCTCCTTCTCAGAAACCGCAGCCGCTTTCTCTTGTTTAAGCCGGGCGTTTACTTCTGAGAATTCTTTACATTTTAAGAATAGCTTCTTGCAGATATATTGAAGAGTCATTGTCTTCTTTTTCTCTTCATCAAGATACTTTTCCAAGATATTCTCAATAGTTGGCCTATTTTTAGGATCTGAGCTGAGCATTGAGGTTACCATTTCCTTGATCTCTGAAGAATAATCGTCTCCTTTTGCAAAGTTTATCTGGTCTCATCTCAAGTTTTCCCACTCTCTACCATTATTTTTGACACCTAACACCTTGCATTAACTCATAAGATAAAACTCCAAGAGCGAAGACATCACATTTTGTAAGGTCAGGTAATGGGGCATTTGGATCATTGTTTAGTAATTCATGAGCCAAGTATCTAGAGTCTCCTTCTGGGACATCTGCCTTGATTTTATCAATAACTCTAGACATTCCAAGGTCACCTAATTTGTATTTTCCGCAATTTCCCAATAAAATATTCTCCAATTTTACGTCGAGGTGTACTATTCCTTTTGAATGAAGTTCTTTAAGGCCGAAGCAGGTATCTTTGAGGATTCCTCTGATCTCCTGTTCTCAGAAGTTGGTCCCTACTTCTTCAAATCGGTCGTACAAGGACTTCTCACAAAGCTCCATCTGGATATAAAGTTGCTCATTTTCATGCCAGGCAGTGTTGTACCTGACAATGTAAGGGTTCTCGGAGCTGACACTTAATGCCGACAGGGCGTAAGCCTCCTGTAAGGCTTCTCCTAGTCTCATCTTGTTCTTTGGATTTTGCCTCTCTGTGATCTTAATGGCATACTCAATTCCATCGCATTTATTCCTGGCTTTGACCTTTATATAAAGTTAAGGAACGGATCTTACCACTGAGCCAAAATGGCCTTTGCCAATGATGCTAATCTCTTCAAAATCGTTCTGGAATCGGTCACCTCTGTCACTAGAGAGCTTCTCTCGAGCTAGGATGTCTTCGTAGCTCTTGATCGGTGTCCCATCTTCCATCATATTTGGATACTTCCAAAGTGTCTTTGCCGGAGTTGGTGTTTCACAAATCACTTTCTTGTCCCTGGGAGGACTTGAATATTCGAGCTGGCTATCCTGCTCCCCTGCTTGGAAGGATCATTTCCTCACTTTCCTCTTCATCTGAGGAGTGATATTCAGGAAGGGATTGGGCTCTTTCTCAATAGAGCTGAGTTCTTGGTCCATTTCATCAAGATCTGTTCTTTTCCTCTTGTTCCCTCTACTTTTTATTTTCAAAACCGGGCGCTCGTATTTCGGAGTAACTCCAGAGGAATATTTTCCTTTGAAAATAATATCTCCCTTGTTCCATTTCCTTTTAAAATTCTCTGGTTTGCTATCGGTCGAAATCGCTAAAAAATGAGCACACAAGGATCTTACTTTTGGAATTTTTTGATAAATCGTCCAGAAGACAGTCAATAGGGGCTTTGAATCCTTTTTCCGGGGAAGATGACATGCTAATATCAAAATTAGGATTTTTGTTCTCCTCATTATCATCTCCGAATAAGTTCTTCTTACATTGCAGCCCTTGGAAGATATTTTTAAGAGAAGGATCTGAATAATCCATTTCGGAATCGGGTTTTGAGAAAGAGTAGCCTCTATCCAATTGAGGAGGTAAGATCTTCCCAGATCCTCTCTTTTCAATAGCACTGAGTAAATTATCAACTAAAGGATCACTTTCTTGCCTTAGGAGATTCTTCCCAAAATTTGGCCCGGAGTCATCATCCATTGCTTGGTCCTTAGAATTATCACAGTTACTTTCACAAGATTTTGGCTCAAGGAACTGGTTCATAAGATTTCTCTTTGTGCTGCTCATGCTTTGAAATTTCCGCAATTTAATTATAACCTTAAGGGGTTTTGGGGTTTTGGGGTTTTGGGGTTTTGGGGTTTTGGGG